ATCTGCATGACCTTAAGTATGTCACCTAAATTATTGTGGCCTAAGGGCTAGAAAGAGAGTTTAACAACAACGCTTCAGCATTTAAATTTTACAAAGTGCTCTCACATTCACTTTTAATTGAATCCACTGGACCAAACTGTCTAAATCAAATGAGATAATGGAGACAGAAGTAGTTTGAAAGATCGGAAACAGTATGCACATGTGAGAGATTATGTAGCTCATAATAATGTTGATTCGTTCTCAAATTTATTGAGCATTTACTTTGTGTCAAGCTTTCTCTTAGTTGATGGAGGCATAGAGATACATTAGACATGGTCCTTGCCTGCTCCTTTGCATTTTTTCTAGGAGGGGAAAAGACATGCCAAGAGAGTACAATGTGGTAAAAATTATAGAACCATAAACAGAGCAGTAAAATTAGTGAAAGAAGCCTCAGTCTATGTAGAGGAGGGGCATAGGTGGGTTCAATGTAAAGCTTCATAGAAATAGAACATTTTTATAGGTAGAAGGCCTGAAGTGGGTGAGCTAATCCTTGCCCTCATATGCCTACCATATTTGCTGCTTTGTTCTTAGTACTAAACACATTGCTTACATCTAGGTACTTAATAAATATTTGTTGAATAAATGATAAACCAAGAGTAGAATTATAAGGCTGTAGCTGTCCCACAGAGCTCTTTTCAGATGTATTTAAATAGTCCCATCCTCTCTCCACCTAAGGGAGGTTTAGCAATAATTCACATTAGATGTTTTCTTGAGATTAAACCCTTCTAATCTCCCAGCAGATTTTGTGGCTGGTTTCTGTTTCCTTGTCCCCAGTGTTTAGAGTCAGTGCTTTAGGGACTCAGGGACACTTAAGAATGTCCCAATTGGCTTATTATTCCCATAGACCTGTGACAGTGTCCTCTCTTCTCTTTGTGGCATCTTGGATGGGGATGGAAGGAGCTGAGCAGGGATGAGATTGTGACTGCTCTGTTTGATCCTTGAAGGGAAACAAAGAGGCCAGCCACAGTCTATTGAGAGAGTAGGAGGGTTCAGATTTAAGAAAGCACCTAATGTGACTCTCAAAGGAACCAGCTCCAGTGGGGAGAACATGGGCTTTGAATGCAGGCAAATCTGTGTTAAAATTTAGACAGCCTCACACACTAAGTAAATGTTAAAGGAGCTATTTCACTTTTGAGCTTGTTTCCTCATCTATAAAATGGCAATTTAAAAAGTTCAGAGCTTTTGAAAAAGAAATAAGGTAACATGAAAATTCCCAGCACAGTACCTAGCAGAGGTTGGTTGCTCATCAAAAACTAGTTTTTCTTCCCTTTTTCTTTCCTGGTTACTAATTTCTGACTTTCCTGTTTCCCAGGAGCTCATGCTCTGTCAGTGTTTATTTATTTATTTTTTTAAATAATTTTTTAAAATTTTTATTTATTTATGATAGGCACACAGTGAGAGAGAGAGGCAGAGACATAGGCAGAGGGAGAAGCAGGCTCCATGCACCGGGAGCCCGACGTGGGATCCGATCCTGGGTCTCCAGGATCGTGCCCTGGGCCAAAGGCAGGCGCTAAACCACTGCGCCACCCAGGGATCCCTCTGTCAGTGTTTAACCACTGCCACCAGATGGGTTCTCTGATTTCATCCAGGTAGATCATCTGATTTCATTCTTAGTTTCTTAGTGGCACCTGAAAGATTATTCGTTTTCCTACACAAAGTTGGCTGAAAGCCTTGCTTGGTCTATTTCCCTTATGCCTAAACCAATATCTTGGACATTACCATTTCAGTGAGAGACAAGACTCACCAATGCTAGAAAAAAAAATGAGCAAAAGTCACACTTTTAAGCCATGACAGTCTTAGTTATACCCACTAGGTTCCAACCCCTACAGATCACCCAAACATGATCAAATCAGAGTAATAGCATTTCTTTCTCCTTGACAAAGCTGTACGTCTTTTTGTTCAAGGCCAGTCCTGGGGGAAAGAGTGAGGAGGGTAGGGTGAAGAACACTAGCTGTCCTCCAAAATTCATTCTTCCCTTCCATAGTAATAGAGATTTAGCTGGGATATGACTGCCCAGATAGGAAACTCATTTGCTGGCTTGCCTTACAGCCAGTTATGTTCATGTCACTACACCCTTGTCAGTGGTTGTGAGCAAAAAGGATGTGTGCAGCTTTTGCCTTGCTTGCTGAAGAGTAAATCGGTGGTCCTGGAATTCTGTACTTGCTCCCTCCTAAATACTTCCAACCAGAGTGAACTTGGAAGCTACATGTTGAAGATGGCAGTAATTACCCTAATTCCCTGAATGACTGTGTAGAGCAGAGCCATCCACCTACTTGAAATGCTGCCTTGGACCTCCTAATCAAATTCTTAGAGTTCTTCATATCCTTCTTTGAATCTCCAGGAAATATCCATGAATGCTTCTTTCTCCTCTTCTTTTTTTTTTAAAGGTATTTATTTATTTATTTATTTATTTATTTATTTATTTATTTATTTATTTATTTATTTATTTACTAGAGAGAGAACATGAGTAGGTGGAAGAGAGAAAGGAAGAGGGATAAGTAGACTCCCCACTGAGCAGGTAGCCAGAGGTGGCCTAATCTCTGGACCCTCGGATCATGACCTGAGCAGAAGGCAGACGCTTAACCAACTGAGCCACCCAGGTGCCCCTTCCTCTCCTTTTCTTGACCATCACTTATAATATCTGTTCCCTACATTTTCTAGGACTTAACTACATTGTTTCCTACATGGTTCTTTTTGGTGTTATTTTGTTCTTTATTTGGTGTGTGCTTCTTGTCAGTTAAACAGAAGATCCTAAGATGTGACTACAGATGTGCTCCCATTTCCCCAATAGCACATCTGTAGTAGACACTGAGAGAGCCCAAAGAGGCCTCCTTTCCCAGCTGCTGTGGGTGTTGACTGCTATCAGTTTGGAGCTGCTCCCTTCTCCAGAGATTTGGCCTCAGCCAAATGTGAGCACCCTTGGGAGGTTAAGTAACCCCTTTAACAGCTAGCAGCCAATGATGTGCAATACAGGGCAGAAAATGATAGCTACAGAAGGTGGGGCAATTCTGTGATGAATACTCATCAGAACCTTCCTGAGGAGCCAGGCTGTTGGAAACCTCCAATCAATACAACCTCCTTACTTAGCTTGCTTCTGCTGTGCTAGCCTGCAGTAGCTCACAGGTGCCACTTATCTCCAGAGAATTGCCCTCAGGTGATGAGATCCTCCTTGTCCCAGAGTGGTCTACAACCAATGACTCACTGATATGGGGGCATAAAAGGCCAGCCTCATTGCCTCAGGGAGGTGTAATCCTGCTATGTGGTTTGTGCCCCAGCCATGTAGAACAGTTCCCTGTGGATCAGCCCAAGGCTAGACATGACCCAAGACCCTCTTTGTTCTTTCCATTTCCTAACTGCTTCATTGTATCCCTTTCTGGTTTTTCCTGAAAAGTGTCCTGTCAAAAAAATACGTCTCAGACTCTGTTTCTAGGGAACCCAACCTCAAACTATCAGCGTCAGTGCTCTGCTATCATTTCCCCAGATCACTTTCCCATTCATTTCTAGGGACTATTCAAATTATACCCTGGATTAGGTGTGCCACAGTGCCAAGATTGGGTTGAAGGTGGTGCAGCAGTTAGATGAAAAACTTGTGGGCTCTACTGAAGTAATTATTTTTAAGAGATTTCATTCATTCATTCATTCATTCATTCATTCATTCACTTATTTAGAGAGAAAGTGAGCGAGAGAGAGTACAAACCAGGGGGTGAGGCAGAGAAAAGTAGACTCCCTGCTGAGCGGGAAGCCTGACACAGGGCCCCATCTTAGGACCCCAGGATCATGACCCGAGCTGACAGCAGCCACTTAACCAACTGAGCCACCCAGGCGCCCCTCTGCTGAAGTAATTATAAGGAATATCTACTGTTCAGGGTTGTTAGGAAGGTATTGCAAGCTATATGAGTTAATGTGTATAAAATGCTTAGACTAGTAGCTGACATATAGTAAATGTTTAAGTGGTAGGGCAGGAATTTCCTTGATCTATTTTACTTATGTATCCTAACAGTGCCAAGATAAGTGCTTGGCACATAGTAAGTCCTCAATAAATATTTCTTGAATGAGTGATTATCAAAGTTTTGCTTTGAGGGCTCAACGTGATGTGCTGGGATCTGGCCAGCAGAGGGCAGAGCCGGTGCAGATCAAATATCCCATGCACTGAAGAAGGTTAAGTGCCACTGAACTCCAAACAGTTGGGGTGGGGTAGAAATGGGGGGCTGAGGAAAAGGAGTAATGAGGTATATTGAGCCCCTACTTTGTGAATTCAGACAAATAAGTAGCTCTAGGCTGTGGTGTCTGTAGCTCTTCTTTTGAACTTGTGACTGATTATTTCATGTTCCCCTCAATAAATCCCTTTTGTGTTTATGCTAATATACATTGGTTTCTGCAACTTGCAAACAAAAGAATTTCTATCATTTTATTATTAATCCCTGCAAGTGTGAGGGCTATGTGAAGGGAAGCCACTTCCATGGGGAGAGACACTGAAGTCCCAGACATGCCCCACTGGGCCTACATCCTGCTCAATTTCCCAGTTAACCACTGTCTTTAGAAGTGTGGTTTCACCACATTTCTACCCACAAGCTTCCCTTGTCTTGTTCTCTTCTTTCACTCTGCCCACTTCGATCAGTCCTATCTTTCAAAGCCTAGTTAAAAGATTTCTCTGAGTCCTCTAAATCTACTCAACCTCATTTCTTAAAACCCTTCTAGCCTGACCATACCTATCTATGTTTGTATTTCCTATTTTATTTGGGAGTTTGGGTTGAGTGGCCTCTAAAGTCCCATTCAACTGCAGACTTCTGAAAATGATGCCTACCCACGTGTCAAATCTTCTACAGTAGATCTTCACCTTCTTCTTCAAGTAGAGCTAAGGAGAGGCTTGAGCATACATGGGCCTCAGCACCGATTTGCAGAGAGTGAACACAACCAACTGCTCATGGGAGTGAATGTGTTCTGTGATCTTCCATTTAAGAAACACACAGGCCTTTATTTTTACTTTTTCAAAGTGGAATCAGCCCCCTCCTGCCCATTATACAAGCAATATACTTATGGTCAATAAATCAAATGTTACATAAATTTTTTAAGTAGAAAAGGAAAATCACCCACAATCCTTCTCTTCAAAGATAACTGCTATTATAGTATTCTTTCAGAGTTTCTGCTATATACAAATATGTATGTTTCAGTAGGGCCTTCTGGAAACCCCATGTTGATCCCTTAAATAGAATCAAACAGAACAGTGGGAGGTTCCAACCTGGGATTTGTAGCTTGTAAGGTATTCACTTGCCACATTGCACATATTTGACTGGATCATATGAAAACCACTGATATTCAGCTGCTTTTGACCTACAAACACAATTTATTATTTAACCTAGTGTATGTGAAACCCAGAATGTCAGAACTGGTAGAGCCCTTAGAGACTTTGAGGTCTTACTATTCTATTGTGCCAAAGAGAGAAAAGTATCAGAGAAGTAACCAGCCAGTTCATGTACCAGAATCCTTCTACTGAATCAGGTACCTACCTTGCATACTCTTCTTCTTTTAAGCAGCTCAGGCACACTGAGGCTTTTTTTTTTTTTTTAAGATTTTATTTATTTATTCATGAGAGACAGAGAGAAGCAGGCTCCATCCAGGGAGCCTGACGTGGGACTCGATCCCGGGACTCCAGGATCATGCCCCGGGCCAAAGGCAGGCACTAAACCGCTGAGCCACCCAGGGATCCCTACATACTCTCCTTCTTTTAATTTGATAATCCTCTAGGTGTAATAATAATCTTCAAGAAGCAGATTTCAATTTGGTATCAGAAAATTTCTCATAGAATCTCATCAAATCAGAAGAGGCTGTGTTTGAGGTAATGATTGGAGATGTGGCTGGGAAGGACACTGTGACATGGATGGAGCTAAAAAGCCTCAATATTCAGGGGTCCGCATTTGCATGGCTTCTTAGGACTTTAGGAGGGGTCCTAGTAATGTATTAGCATGGCAATATGTTTTTTGTAATATTTGCAAAAGCAGGATATTTTTGAATTCTTTTTCTTAAGGAGGGCCCCCAGAATCATAGAAGTTTCAGGCCTGGATCCTGTCCTGTATGGTGGCACAGTTTTGAAAAGCAGTAGGCAAGGAAACCAGAATTCCTAGGTCCTAGTTTATAGCCCTGCTCTGGCCCAAATGGCTAGAATCGTACTTACTTTGCTTCCCTCATAGGGGGTAAAATCACAAATGTTAAATATCTTAGAACACATAAAAAATGTGAACAAACATAAATAAGTCATATTACTCAGATTCTTATGGTGATATGGGAGAATCTCTGCTGCTTTTCATGGCCGTTGAAGATAACACATCAAAAAATGTGTCCTCAGTGCATCTTCCTGTTTCATTTCCCTCTGTTACAACTTCCTTTTCTCCTTCCTCCAGCCTCTAGGCCCCAACCCCCAGCCACTGGACCAATCATTGGTTATTATCTTTTGCAATTTCTATATGTTTGTTCATGGGGCTCCCACTGTTTATAAAGTCTATCTTTACTGGAAAACAAAATCTTTACCAACAAGGCCCAGGTCTGCCAGCCCCTCTCCCCCCACTGTAATGATGACCTCCCTTAGGACTATTTCTTGTTAATCTTACAGATGGGGACACTGAGGCCTGATGTGGTCCATAACTGAGTTCCAGTGTCTTGATGTTCGGCCATTCCCAGGCCCCTAGCATCAGATCATAGACACACGGTTCTTGATATACACATGATAGGGGTCACTGCGTTTGTCCACTTTGCGGGAGCGGGTATATCCCAGGATGAGGCTGCCCACGGTGGCAGCAAATAGAAACATGACGAAGAGAATGTACATGTAGGAGTTGTCATCACGGCCAGGTAGGCTGGCCCGCCGCTCCCCAGTCAGGTCGTCTGACCCTGGCCGGCAGAGCAAGTTGCTGTGAAGAGTGGCATTTAGAGCCTTCAGCACTGCGTGCAGGCTCTCATACCAGGTCTCAGTCCCGTTGGTGGTCTCCATAGCAACAGAGATCCGGAGTGGGAGCAAGGAGGCCGCTCTGTTGGTTACAGAAAAGAGAGGGGAGTGGCTTCTGTCACCTGCAGTTTGAATTCCCGCCCAACCCCTGTAGGCCCCAGCTAAAATCCCAATGTCACAGTTTGTCTGTCTTCTCCATTAGACTGTAAGGTAGGGACCATATCTGTTTTATTAACTGCTATACACAAGCACATAAGACAGCGCTGAACAGATGCTCAGTATAGACTTGTGGAATAAAGCCTTCCTTCACCACTGTAACACATATTAATCTTTCTTTGGATTCTATAAATCACTGAGCTTTGGGCTTCAAGGACCTTAGGGGTTATTTATTCTAACTACTTCCATTTTATACACAAGGAAACCAAGACCGAGAGAGAATTAACTGGCCTGTCCATGATCAGAGAATATTGGAAGTAGAGCCAAGACAAGAGTCCCTCTCTGTGATGGCCAACTTAGAGCTCCTTTGGCTCCTGGGCCAGCTATCAGCAGGAATGTGTGGCACCATCAGAAGACATTCCCCAGAACCCTCCTTCAACACAGTTCTTTTTTTTTATATTCCACAGGGAGCATTTACAAGAGAGGATGGCTTAGATTTCATCCTACCTGGAGGCCAGAGGCTCAGTCGTTTGATCTCTCAAGTGTCCTATGTCACAAACACTCTAGATATTCCTACCTATTGGGGACAAATTCTGTTGGAAATGTGGGTGGTGGGGGAAGCAGGGAGAGGCTGATAATCACTGCAGACACCAGGGAAAAGAACAGGGTTGGGCTGAGGGGAGGGGAGTGAAAGCATCACTCAGTCCGATTTGGAGTTTTACCTACCCTAGAGAAAGAACACAGGCATCTCAACTATCCTGCTTTGAGACAAAATAGTCACTGTATACTGGTATATAATAAATGTTTCTTTTTCTTCCTCTCAGAGATTCTTAGTCTACAGAATAATATCCAAAGACAGCCTTGTATCCTAGTCTCTAAAAAACCATGTCATTCCTTTTAAACAAGGCTCCACACTCACTTCTTTCAGGAAGACTTCACTGAGTGCTCCCTACCCCTTAACCATATTCCACAAGCTTTATCAGTGCAGCCTTTCCTTTTAGCCAGCACTTATGTATAAGGCAATAAGTGGCTATTCTCTTGTTATTGATAAGGGTATCAGCAGACTACATGCTCCTGGTCAGCAGGGCTGTGTCTCTCCCTAAAGTCTAGAGGACTACCCTGAGACTAGCTGGGTGTTGTGCTTCCCTCCAGGGTCTACCTTGTGACTTGCTGGGTGTTCTTTCAATGGTCTCCAGTAAAGATGGCTACTTTAGGGACTTTTTCCATAGGCCATACACACTCAGAGTTCACTGACTGGTTTCAAAGCCTTCCTTTATCTAGGTAGAGTTGTCAAACAACCAAAGTTAACAAACTTGACTATTATCCAGGTCTCTTTCCCGGAAAAGATGACAGTTATGACCATGGCCAATGTTTATGAATGCAAAAGAAGAATCTCAAAAACACAGCAATCACCCAGGACTGGCCTACATTTCATGCAAGGCCTTTGGGGGCTCCCTGCTCTGTGGTGCTTGGACTACCTTGTCTGTATAGAGGAAAGGAAGAGAACAAGGGCTCATGGAATTAAGATCCAGGAGGCAGAGGTTCTCATCTACTACCCCACTTGTCAGATAAGAAATTTGTGCCTTCTTCATCCTTCTTATCGACCAACAGAAGGCAGTAGCAGCAGCACAATGAATTAATGGCTCAACTAATCATTCAGCCAGTCATCATTTATGTAGGCCCACTCTTGGGCAGGCCTCATGCTGGGAGCTTGAGGCGGCTCAAACTCAGTCCCTGCACTTAGAGACATACTGCCAGCTGATCCATAATGCAAGGGACAAGCCAGGGGCTACTGGGGCTTAAGGAAAGAAGGGACAAATTCTGATCAGAGCTCAGAGAGTATTCAGACTGATGGAGGCATTTGAGTTGGACCTAGAAGGGTTTTTAGGAGGTAGAGAAGGCAAGAAATGTAAAGAGGTAAACAAACATGACAAGAATGTTCAGAAGAATAGAAAGTAGCATAAAGGGGTTGGAGTGTAAGATGTGTGGAAGGATAAGATAGGACATGGGATAGAGAAACTGCCCTGGATTAGATTATGGAGGGCCTTGACTGCCACACTGCAGAGTTAGAACTTTATTCTGTAGTTGGGGAAGAACCAAGGGACAATACTTTAAAAGGGGGATGCAATGATCAGATTTGTGTTTGAAAGGACATTCTGGCTGCTATGTGGACTGGAGGGGACAAGAATTGAGGCAGGGAGCCCAGTGACAAGGGCCTTGAAAGAGTTCAGGTAGAAGACACAGAGTCCAGTGCTGGGGCCATGGGGATAACAAGGTGGGGGCCAGAAGAGAGGTGAGATATGAGAGACATGTGGGGACGAGTTTAGGGAAAAAAGAGCCTCAGACTGTTTTACAAGGAGATAACAGATAGATGGGGTGCCTGGAAGAGCCCACTTTGAAAGAAATGAGCTTCTTGCCCTGTTTGGGCTTTTGTTTCCTCATCTGTCAAAATGATTTTCAATCTGGAATTATTCAATAGGTACAGAGTTTCAGTTTTGCAAGATGAAGAAGTTCTAGAGATCTGTTGCATGATAATGTGAATACAGTTAATACTACTGAGCTATATACACTTGAAAATGGTTAATAGGGTAAAGTTTATGTGTTTTTTTTTTACCACAATTAAAAACAACAACAAAGAGAAGACTATCATCCCTGCCCTGCCTCCCTTGCTTCAGCACACAGTTTTATTATGGTCAAAAATTTTTTTTAATCCTATTCTCCACTTTTGAGAAGAAAATACATATACACAATACATACAATGAAGATGAAGCCTCCCTGTTCCCAGTGGTCCAGGACTCTTTCCCAGAGCAGTTTTCTTAGATGTCCTTGCAAGGCAGTTTTAACTGACAGGACAGAGGAAGGGCAACTTGAATCTGGAATACTCACCAAATAACGGGTAAATCTTCTGGCTCGGAGTCAGCTTCAGGAATCTCCCTGTGGGTGCCTCTGAATCTCCCTGAGGGCTCCTCAGCCCCTCAGCCTCTTCAGGGTGTCTCTGGACACATCTGGGGTCTCAGTATTGACTTTGGGAGCTGGGAAAGTCCCAGAGCTGGAAAGCAGGGGAGGCGGCAGGAAAGGAAGGAATCAGACACACAGAAAACTCTTCAGAACCAGGGTGGATCTCCCAAGGCTGGGGCCTCAAGAGTTGTGCAATAGCCTTGCTGTGGGTACTAACCCCCACCCACTTCCCCTCCCCTTCCTGCAGCAGCTGGGTCAGGCCAGTCTAGGGTTGCAGTTACAGGAACTGTGCAGTGGCCAAGGGATGTCTGATTGCTGCCACCCAACTCCAGGCCTGCAATGTCTGGGTGACTTTATGAGAAGCCTCAGTTTAACATGTGGGCTCTCGCTCAGGGACTAGCTAATAGTGCAGACGAAAATATTTCCTTTCCCAAGCATACAGGTATCTTAGCAAAAGCCTCTAAAAGGTTGACAGAGGCTGAGACCCAAGGGAATGATGATGGCAGCTGGCAGTCGGGTCAATATTTTACATAGGAACAAATGATGTTCCCAATGAACCTATTTGGAGAGACTGGGTAAAATATGGTCACAGCATCAGCATTTTCTGTAGCACAGCTCATTGTGAAAATTAAAGAAGAAAATTGCAATGCCTGACACTAGACGCTGCACAGATGTGGTGGCAGTTTTATTTTTGCAAGGCGGAGGCTGGTAGGATCTTCCGAGTCCATCTAGTCTAATCTCTAGTTAATCTTCTTCATCTTACAGTGAAGGAAATGCTGTCTTGGTTCAGCTGTTACTTGTGTGACGTAGGGCATGTGACTTTTCTAGGGCTCAGCTTCTGTATGCATCTGTAAAATGAAGGGGTTTTATCTACATAATCTGGTAAGATCAACTCTAACATCCCACGAGGGTACAAATCACAAAACTACTCTTTGAGACTATGGGACATTGGATATAGGTTGGTGGAAGAGGCATTTGGCCCCTAAATCACAAGATAGAAAAGGCTGCAGACCTTGTTCTCACAGATTAAGGTTTGTAACTGAGCCCCAGGACTGAGTTACACTGAATATGCCTGACTAGATAAACTGAGAGCTAAATCGATTGACTTGTTCATTTTTCCTCTTAACAGCCATTCTGCCCAGGTGATCTAGCCAGGGAAGGAACCAGACTCTGTGCAGAAAATGGGGTCGAGGGACAGTGTGGGGGACAGGGTGGGCGCCAAGGTAGGGCTCAGTGACGGGACTAAAGGTTCATGAAACCATTCATCCTTCACATCTTCCTCCTGAGGCCTCTCTGGATAGACCCAGATGTTTGTGGTTCTGACAGGAGAAGCAAAGAAACCACTATTACACACATTTAGGTCCTGGATTGGGGTAGGAATGAGGGCCTGGGTGCATGGGCATTGTGCTGGGTCAAGAGAGACAGAGAGCAGATAAAGAGACAGGTTGATTCTCTTTGAACTGCCTCTACATCCAAGGATTGGCCATTGGCATCACTGAGAATTTTGTTCCTCTTTCTCAACTCCTTGGCTTCACTCATCAAGATAGTCACTGATTATGAAGTTCATAATGGGGGAGATGGAGCTCTGCTCTGTAGAGTTCTTAACTTGAAACAGAAGATAGGCCAGTAAGGAAGGAAGGTGAACAGTGACTGACCATGCTGAAAGATATTTTAAAGATTATTCAGAATCTAGATTCTAGGTCAACTCCTTCATTTTGTAGATGGGGAAACTGAAGCTCCAGGAGAGAAGGTGACTTGCACAAAATGGCATGGCTAGTGAAGGGCAGATCTCTCATGAGAACCAAGATCTTTGGAGGCATGTGCTGTTTTTGGGTGCTCCTTCCACTACCGATGGCAACATTCCCTGGCAGCATCTGAGCTGTGCATCATACCAAACACAGCCTCCTCATGTTCTGAGGTCCCAGGTCTTCTACCTCCATACTACTGCTTTTTTCTGGCTGCACATTCTCACCAATCAAAGATCTGGCAAGGGGGGTTGGCATGTTTTAGAAGAGTTAACCTTTCTTTATAATCTCACCTCCTATGGTCCATTCTGCTCCAGAATCACTCCTGTTCCCCCAGACAAGCCAGAAGTACTCTCTTCTTCCACACTCTATTGCTATTTCCTGCACATTAACAGGTTCTTCCTGAATGTTCCTTTTTTTTTTTTTTAATGTAAGCTCTGTGCCCAGCATGGGGCTTGAACTCCTGACCCTGAAATCAAGAGTCACATGCTCTACCAACTGAGCCAGCCAGGTGCCCCATCTTTAAATGTTCTTGACTTGAACTCACAGGTGTCTAAGGTGGAGGTAGAAGTGTAAAGCTGTGATCTGAAGGATGAGCTGAGCATCTTAGGTTTTCTTCCAGGTTTTTCTGGGAAAAAGTAAAACTCTACCATTGGTTTTTTTGATTTCCCCACTGCTATATTTCAGCTACTCTTTCAGAATGAATGAGTTAACTGCCTGGAAATGTGGTAAAGAGAGGCAAGGGGGGAAAACACACAAGGAAGATAGGGGATCCAAAGACAACCCTGGAGACCAAGGTTGTCACCACCATTGACTGGGGAGCCAGTGGAGTCAGAGAGGAGTTAAAGGAATGGAACTTAACACAGAGTTGGAAGGACACACAGGAATAAAATCTGAGTTGGAAGGGATCTTAATAATCATGTTGTTGGTACAACCTTCATTCAACCAGAGGAAAGTAGAGCACCCCTCCCTGAGGAGATCACCTGTGAAAGGTCTCACAGCCCAGGATGGGTAGTGCTGGGACCACAAATAGGTATCCCATCCACAGACCTACTTTTAGTTTCCTGTTTTCTGTAGAACAGTCTAACTAACCTCCTCAGATTGTCATTTAAGCTTCTTTGGATGTGACTCTGCCTTTAGTCCCATCTCACCACAGCTCTACCCAATGCCCTGTGCCATATGATACTGAGCTCCAAACATTCTTTGCACTTGCACTCTTCTCGCCTTTGTTTATGCTGTTTTCTTAGGCAAAGGAGTCCCCTTCCTCTTTTTAATCTTTCTGGTGAACTCCTATTCATCCTTCAAGACCCAGCTCCAATGTCACCTCTCCTGAGACACCCTCCTGAGACCCTATCCTGAGACACCCCTCCCCCTTCCCCACTCCCTAGCCAGTTAGTCTCTCCCTCTTATCTGTTCCTAAAGTGCAGTGCATAAACCCTATTCAAGCACTATGCTGTACTGAAACTATATGTGTGTGTGTATGTGTGTGTGTGTGTGTGTAGGCATTGATACATATAAATAGGTATGTTAAACTATGTGCTGTGAGGTGTGAGGGCAAGGACCTTTGCCTCATACATTTCTTTGTTCCCTGGACCTGAGCACATAGTAGGCACTTAGTCAATAATAAATGAATCAGTGCCTCTTCTTATTAGACAATCCCCCATCTGGCACACATACACACTCATGAAAACAACTTATAGTACTTAAAGCAACTTCCAGAGAAAAAGATACCATTTGGTTTGGGAAAGGAGAGGTGCAAAGAAAAGAAGCTATCTTGGTCAGGTAGAGAAGAGATTCAAAGAAGGAAGAATTCTAAGCCTTCTTTGGAAGCCCAGACATTCCCTGTACCTGTACTCCATGCAATCCAAAGGGCAAACATTCTTGGCCCCAAAACACTAACGGTGGTTTTGCCACCCTGTTCCCTGTGTACCTACCCAGGGTGTGGCCACACACACCCACCCATTGCATACACACAGTCCAATTTCCAGTCACCCAGCCTGTGATCTTGCCTTTCATGTGTGCCTCTGATGGTTCCAATCTTGACCATATGTTTGGCTATGTGACCTTGAGCACTGCCTTTATTTCCTCGGAAATTCATATATGAGATGGGGATAATTATCCCTGCCCTGTCTACCTTACATGGGAACTGGGGGAGACAACAAAGGGGAAGGTGTTTTAGAAATTGCCAAATATTGGGGATCCCTGCGTGGCTCAGCGGTTTGGTGCCTGCCTTTGGCCCAGGGCGCGATCCTGGAGTTCTGGGACTGAGTCCCATGTCGGGCTCCCAGCATGGAGCCTGCTTCTCCCTCGTCCTGTGTCTCTGCCTCTCTCTCTCTCTCTCATAAATAAATAAATAAATCTTTAAAAAATTTCCCAAGTATTATAGAAACATAAGAGAGAATTACTAGCAGTTCAGGCCAGTTTCCTTTTCTGTTTCCCTACCCCCAACTCCAGATTACCAAGAACAGCCATCGCTATATTGCTCCTCCCCCCTTCCTTTGGTTCTTTATCCTCAGGAGAAGCCAGTACTTATGACTCTTCTTGATTCCCAGACACAGTTTCCTCCTTCAAAAACCTTCCTTGGAGTGCCTGGGAGGTGCAGTCAGTTATGCATCCAACTCGTAATTTTATCTCAGGTCCTGATCTCAGGGTTGTGAGATAAGTCCCTCTTTGGGCTCGTGCTCAGCATGGAGTCTGCTTGAGATTTTTTTTCTCCCTTTCCTTCTGCCCCTCCTGTTCATTCTCTTTCTCTTTCTAAAATAAATAAACATATCTTTAAAAAAAATAAGTCTTCCTTATTTCTCATACTCTGATCAGCCCTGTAGTCCCTTTTCATTTAATGGTACCATTCGGTAGTCCTGGGGTTGATGGAGAACATACCAGAGCTGGAATCAAGAGACATGCCCCTATTTGGCCATGTCTAGACATGTGTCTTGGTTAAGTCATGTTTCCACCCTAGGCTTCATATTCCCCATCAGTAAGATGGGAGTTTTGTCTTACCTCCTAGTAGGTATTTGGAACATCCATGCATTTAGTTTATGGATAGAACTGTGTTTTGAGATGTGTGGAGTGAGTGAGGGATGAAGAAGGTTGTTGGCTATCATAAGGAGTCAAGAAATCTGAAAGCAGTTCCCATGCCTCAAGCAGGCGTCTCCTCCATTTGGAACCAGCAAAGAGGATGGATCCCAGGAGATAATGAAGAGCTTACACATTTACCACGCATCTTTGTAGGTAAAATGGAGATAGCCCTGGACTCGAAGTGAGGAGACTTGGGTTCTGCTTCTCCTGGTATGTCCCTGGGCAAGCTATGGCCCCCCTGGGCCTCAGTTTCCCCACATACAAATTGGTGAAGAGTGGGGAGGAGGGATAGGAGGAGATGCTCTTCACGGACCCTCACACAAGGGTTTGTCTGAACTCATCTGCTTTCTAAATAAAAGAATCCCAAGTCCAGACCTTGTTCCTCTCGTCACATGGAGTGTACAGGCAACTGGACTAAGAGGCTCATTTTATAGGTAGTGACCCAGGCAAAGAAAGTACAAGGCGTACAGTAGGAGACTTGCACGGGTTTACACAATCTGTAAAATAGAACCCGGTCTCCTGACTGCTAAAGGCGTCTTTGGGAGTCCCCAGGCCCGGGGCACAATGCAATAGCGAAAGGGCAAGCCGGCTCCGCAGAGCAAGCAGCTCCCGCCAAACAAGAAGACCGCGCAGGGTCCGAAGGCCATTTCTGCGCGTGCATTCGCTGCGGCCCCGCGGGTGTTCGCATGCATACCTGTGGACGTGGAAAGAGCTTTCAAGCCTCCCTCCTGGAGCCTCTGAGTGCCGGTGCAAGCCCCCGTGGCTTTCAGGCTGGAACTGCCAGGCTCCCAGCTCTGCACTCCCACGCGGGGCCCCGGGATCCCTGCACCTCGGTTCTGTGAGCCGTGCCCCACCTCCGGTCGGGGTTCTCAACGGAGTCGGGAAGACCCCTAACTTCCACCCCCCGCTGCAGCGCAGCCTTCCCGACCCTGCCAGTGCGCCTTACCTGCCTCTTGGCAAGACTCCGAGGGGCGCCGGTCTCTAGATAGGACCCCGCACTCTGTGCCCCTGGGTGCCCCCCGCACAGCAACCCTCCGCGTTGGGTCTGCCTGTCTGCACAGTCTGCGCCCCGACCTGCGCTCTGCTCCCTTTAACCTTTCCCAGGGCGCCTCCTCCCCCGGCCCCGCCCGGCCCCCAGCACACCCACTTCTCCCCAGGCTGGTTTCGGGCGCCTCCGCCCAGAGCTGCTTGGCCCCACACGGCCGGCCGGCTGTGGGCTCCGACCCTTCCGTCCCCTGCAGCGCCTGCTTCCTGGACCGGAGACCGAGTGCCTCTCACTTGGCTTCAGCTCGCCCAGCCTCAGGCTGATCTAAACGCAAGGCTGAGCGTTGGGTGTTGGTGGAATTAGGCTTTGCTCCTAAGTGGCTGTGTGGTGGTTGGCAAGTCACTGCTCCTCACTGGGCCATAGCTTCTTCGCTGTAAAATGGGTAAAACTCGTGCTTCGCACGGTGTTGGTTTGGGTTAGTTGAGATCGTAGAATGCAAAACATTAAAGCCAATGGTCACTGGAGAAATCACCTGATTCTAACACAAGCCATCTTTTCCAGACAGAATGCAGGGGCCCAGTTTGGGGAAGAACTTGCCCAGGCTCCCAACAGCACAGTGGCGGGGTTCAGACTCAGAATTCACTATGCCACTTTTCTCTTCTTCACCCCAGCTAATGTCTCCTCCTTCTAAGTCTCAACACTCTTCACATGCCCTGAAAACTGTTGTCCAGCATACCTCACTGGTCCTGGCCCCAGAACACTCTGCACTTTCTGGCCACCAGGCCCTCCCTCACACTATTGCTTTCTTGCTGGTGACACTACAGGCTCTAGAAAGACAAACAGCCAACGAAAGCTGGGAAGTCAGGGCGGTTCTGTAGGCAGAGGAGTGGACAAGTGGCAGGCAAAGCCTCTGAGGGACTCTGTGGGAGTCCTTATCAGAGCCCTTTTTAACAACCTCCTACTTTGGCATAATTATTAATAAACTGAGGCCAGCTCTCATTCCCTTGCAAACAAAGATGTGTTCCAGAATATCTGAAGCACGTACCCTTATCATAGAATCTCAGATTATATGTAAGAAGTGCTATCATTTTAAAAAGACCCACTGCATGGACAGAATGCCATACAAAATTGCTATTCTTTATCAAAGCACGTTACTTCCCTGTTATTTCTGTGGTTACATATTTTGACCCACTTACACCTTTTGCTCAATCACCTCTCAAGGAAGAAGTCATCCTGACCCTGGGCATGAAGTATCAAATTTCAGTCTGCCTAAGAATCACCTCAGAGCTCATTCTGGTAAAGTAGACTTTTGGGTCCCTCTCCAGAGGTTCTGATCCAAGAGACCTGGAATGAAGCTCAGAAATTTAACATTTAAAAAAAAGTTTCCCTGGCAGCCCAGGTGGCTCAGCGGTTTAGCGCTGCCTTTGGCCCAAGATATGATCCTGGAGACCTGGGATGGGGTCCCACGTTGGGCTCCCTACATGGAGCCTGCTTCTCCCTCTGCCTGTGTCTCTGCCTCTCTCTCTCCGTGTGTGTCTCTCATGAATAAATAGATAGAATCTTAAAAAAAAAAAAAAAGTTTCCCATCTGATTCTGATGCCAGTGGTTCTTAAGATCAGCCCTGAGGAACCAGCCCAGGCTAAGGTATGGCTCCTTCTTCCATTCTACCCAGAGCCTTGAATTTACCATATAGGACTATTTACTATAGTTATCAAAAGTAACTATTTGCCCACCTCATCTACTAGATTGTGAGTTCTTTGAAGATAGGGATTTAGAATCATAGTCTTAGAATCACACCGTATTAGAGTTCTAGAGTCTTTTAGTGATAGAATCTAAGATGGAAGGACTCTTAAAATTATCTGGTCAAATCCCTTGCCTAAAAATCCCCTATATTTGATTTTTTCTTTTTTTTATATTTTATTTATTTATTCATAGAGACAGAGAGAGGCAGAAACAGAAGCAGGCCCCATGCAGGGAACCCGACATGGGACTCGATCCCGGGTCCCCAGGATCACACCCCGGGCTGCAGGCTGCAGGCGGCGCTAAACCGCTGCACCACCAGGGCTGCCCCCTATATTTGATTTTTAACATGAGACTGTCCAGCTTCTCCTGTATACCTTGAGTGACAAGGAGTTATTGCTTCCAAGGCAGCCAAGGTCTTCTCTTCTTCTTCTTCTTCTTCTTCTTCTTCTTCTTCTTCTTCTTCTTCTTCTTCTTCTTCTTTTGTATATGTTTTTATTGGAGTTCAATTTGCCAACATATAGCTTAACACCCAGTGCTCATACCATCAAGTGCCCCCCTCAGTGCCTGTCACCCAGTCACCCCATCCCCCTGCCCACCTCCCCTTCCACCACTCCTTGTTCATTTCCCAGAGTTAGGAGTTTCTCATGTTGTCACTCTCACTGATATTTCCCACTCATTTTCTCTCCTTTCCCCTATAATCCCTTTCATTATTTTTTAAATTTTTTTTAATTTTTATTTATTTATGATAGTCACACACAGAGAGAGAGAGAGAGGCAGAGACACAGGCAGAGGGAGAAGCAGGCTCCATGCACCAGGAGCCTGACGTGGGATTCGATCCCGGGTCTCCAGGATCGGGCCCTGGGCCAAAGGCAGGCGCCAAACCGCTGCGTCACCCAGGGATCCCTCATTATTTTTTATATTCCCCAAATGAATGAGATCATATAATGTTTGTCCTCCAATCGACTTACTTCACTCAGCATAATAGCCTCCAGTTCCATCCATGTTGAAGCAAATGGTGGGTATTTGTCTTTTCTAATAGCTGAGTAATATTCCATTGTATATATAGACCACATCTTTTTTTTTTTTTTTTTTTTTAGACCACATCTTCTTATCCATTCATCCTTTGATGGCAGCCAAGGTTCTGATTGTTAGGATGTTTTCATGTTTTAACAAAAATTGCCTCCTTGTTACTTCTACCCTTCGGTCCTTGTGCCCACTGGAGACATAAAGTATGTGCCTAATTTTTTTGTTCCCTTTTTTTGGTTCTTAAGAAACTTAAAGCCTGTCTTCCACTTCCCTTTCTCCGGAGTGAGGAAGGAGCAAGAACTCTGTTAGGGAAGCTAACTGGCTAAGGGGTTCTTAGAAAGTGGACTGAGCTGCCTCATTTTCTTTATCTGTGATTTGTGGGTTTGCTACAAGGCTTAGATGACCCAATGTGTGTAATAGGCCTAGGTTGGGCCCAGCATAATGCATGTCCTTCATAAATGACAGCTCCTATTATTATTAGATGAGAAAAGATGGAACAGGATTCCTGTCATAGGGAGACCATAGTCTGAGAACTATATTCAGGAACAGTCTAATACAAAGAAGTTGGAGACAAGGCCCAGACCTTAGGACAGGTTGGGCCGGGGTGTGGGGTGGGATGGACTGACTGAAGGGGTCAGGGGAAGACTCACCTGGAGATACACCTCCTTCAAGTCTTTAGTTAAGTCTTAGCTGAGTTCTTCCCCAATCATTCTATTTACAAATCCTAATCCCTCCCTTCCACTGCCCTCCCTAACTCCCTTTCCTGCCTTGTTTTTCAGTAATACTTAACATCATCTGATATATTTAACTTTAAAAAAGTCTTTTTTTTTTTTTTTTTTGTTCCTCTTGCTGCATGCTTCAACTGAAGCTCCCAGCTTCTGTCAGTCCTATCTCAGAGTGCTCCCTGTTCCCACGATCCTGTAAAACCCCCTTCCCTCTCCCCTACAGGCCTGGGGAGGTAATGATGCCCAAGTGCTTCCAGCTCTGGAGTTCTTCAAGATCCCTTGTGGTTTCCCTACTCCCTGCCTACCTCTGTGAATAGAGCCTCCTCAAATTACTGGCATGGGATGGCCATCTGCTTCCTGCAGGATCTGGCTGATACATTCTCCAATGGCACCTTACACTTCCCTTCAACACAGCACTTACCAGTCTGTGTTGTAACTGTCTACTTTATTTGTTGACTCCACACCTAGAACATAAGCTCCTTGAGGGTACCAGGGCAACACTAAGTCTGTACCCAGTAGACCTTACTGAGAATGTGTTGAATGAATGAATGAATGTCACAAAATGAAGATCACTAGGAATTATGTCATCAGGGAAAACTTGCAAGAAGAGTTGGAACCTGAGAGAGCCTGGAGGCTGCCTGGGTGGCACAGTTGATTAAAGCATCTGACTCTTGGTTTCTCAGCATGGTGAGACAGAGCCCTGTGTCAGGCTTCATGCTCAGTGGGGAGTCTGCTTGAGATTCTCTCTCTCCTTCTTCCTCTGCCCCTCCCTGCTCTTGTACATGCACACATGCATGCACAATCGCTTTCTCTCAAATACATAAATAAATCTTTTTTAAAAAGAACCTGAGAGCCTGGAAGGATAACAGGATGCTTTTCAACCTTTAAGCCAGACCTTTCCTCTGAGCACTAAACTTCTATATCTGACTGTCTACTTCACATCTCTGAATGATACATTGGGACTGGGACCCTTGACTTCCTTCCCTGGCTCCCCTCAATCCTCATTCTCTCAGTAAATAGAACCATCATCCCTCCAGTTTCCTGTTTGTTTTCTTCAGAGAACTCAACCTGGTCTTCTGTCTACCTGTGTATTGACTTAGGATCTGCCTTTCCCATCAGACTGTGGGCACTACAAGAGCACAGACCAAGTATGTCTCTTTCACCATAGAATACACAGGATGTAACTCAATGTCTACCTAGTATTGGGGGAGAAGGGTTGCAGGTAGGATGAGCACAGATTGTGTCTGTCAATGGAGTTAAAAGCCTGGGTCGCCGAGGAAAACACAGCATAGAGGAAGTTTAATGGTCACATCAAGTTATTTTATTCCATTACTCATCAGCAGTCTGTACTTCTGTGATTTGTCTCCTCTTGGCATGTTGGTTTGACCCTCAGAACACTTTGTCTTCTTGTTCTGAGCATACCTTTCCCTTGCCTCTGCAAGCAGCCTAGATCAGTGGAAAGACCCCTGGAAGAGGGTATAGCAAGGGTGAGATGGTGTGGCATCAGGAGACTAAAGATCTCTGTGGCATCTTCTCCCCATCTCACCCTCATGCATGCTACATCCTGGGAA